ATAGGAGTAGATACGACGCAAAGGTCTTTGGTACACAGTTGGGGGGCAGTTTCGGCGAAACCTTCTATCGATTAAATTACACAACAGACTAGAAGAAGACGTGGGGAATCGGTTTGGTATAGTTTCGCTGCCAGTTCTAAATCTGCTTGAAAGATCTCGAGGTTTCATTTTGGCAGTTGATTAGGCTGTATAGGTCGGCGGTATCGTTCGTTGGACACGATCGCATGTCCATCCACGTTCGGCGGTGGACGTGACAGGGAACGCGCGGCAATGATAATAATAAAACGAGAAGTAAATTAACTACGATCGGGTGGAGAGATGGCGATGGCGGTGGCAGCGGTCGTCTCCGTGCACGCAGTCGGAGCCGAGTGTCGCGTTTCGCTGACGCGATCGCCTTTGCTCCTGAAAATCCAAAGATAGATCATGTTACGGTTAGGTTGTTCTCACCAGGAAGATTTCGAGTACCTTCTCCGTTCCGTCGCGTCGTCGTGGTGGTGGTCGCAAGCACCACCGTTAGCTGAAGGTTCGAGCATCGACGAATCTTCCGACGCGTAAGCCTTCCGTTTGGCGGCACTCGAGTGCAGCTCCGTGTTCCCGTTGTAGTAACCATTTTCGTACCTGTTCAAATAATCCGCGGACATGGGCGATCTCCTAGCTGGCAAGTAGTCTCCGGTGCTCGGAGCTAGCAGCTCCTCGTAATACTCGACGGTCCCGTACTTTCGCGGTAGAGAGCCGAGACCGGTTAAATCCGGGTCCGCGGTGAAATCAACGCTGTGGTACCTCGTCCTGGACGGGGGAAGGTCGAAGGTCGGCGATCTCAGGTACCTCCTGAGCGGATCGAAAGAGGAGGAAAGAGAAAGGTGGCCGGTAGGTGACTTTAAATCGGCGATGTCGGAATAGCGACTCCCTCGATCGAGAGATCGGTGGCGGAGGATCGGGCTGCTGTCGTCTCCGTACAAGCTGTACGAGGAGCTGTTTCTCTCGACCGAGTGCCTCGCGGGCTTGGAGGGTAACCCGTAGCCAGCGGCGGTGCTACCGTATCTGCTTCGATCCCGATGCCCGCTGAAGCTGAACTTTCGCGGCAAGGTCGTGCTAGTGGACAAGGCGAGGCCCGGCGGTGGCGTGGTCAAGGACGGTCTTCGCCTGTCGTTGAACCGCGAGTAGAAGCTTCGTCTGCGTATCCTGTCGATCACCGACTCGGGATTGTCGTTTCTGGCGAAGAGGGAACGCGAAGGGGAGGTAGGCGAGTGCAAATCAGGCCTGGCGTGGCTCAATTCCGCCGAGCTGACCGACCACGAGTCGAAACTCTCGGGCGGCTCGTCCGTGGGGGAGAGTAGGTCAGGAGGTGGTTGCTCGATCGCCTCTTCGACCGCCTCTTCGGCGGTCGCCGCCGCCGCGGCCGCCGCCGCGTGGCTTTCGATCAGTCTGGCGCACTCGGTTACCTCTCTCTTCAATTCGGCCACGTCTTTGGCGCGCAGAGCTTTGTCGATGGTTATCTTGTTGCCGGTGATGCTGGCGCGGTGAAGCTCGTCGGGTACGTTCTCGTTCGGGGGCGTAGGCTTCGGCGAATCGGATTTCGGGGAGTCCTTCTTGGGCGTGGTATTCCTGAAGGAGTGCTGCGGTATCTTGGAGAGGTCGAGCTTCAGGCTGCTTCTGTTCGCTCGCTGAGATTCTTGACTCTTGTTCGCTTGCGACTCGAGCCCGTTCTCCTTCGGTTTCCCTGCAGCGGGGACAGGTTCCGGGCTCTTCTCCATCTTTTTCTTCGTTCGCGTTTTCACACACTTTCCTTTCTCCTCCGGCGTCGGTTTGTTGCCGTCGGTATTATTGGCGTCGCTCGATCTCTTCGTAATCTTCTTCACCGCTCGTACGATTTTACCAATTTCCTCGTCTTCTTCTCGGCCGCGTCTTCGGGTTTACTCGGCTCCGCGGACGAGCCGTTCTCCACCGACGACTTGCTCGCCTTTTTCACTTTGCTCGTTGATTTTCCGCCGGAAAATACCTTCTCGTTCTCCTTCGCAACAAACGCTCTGTCCGGCGTCCTCTTCACGTCGCCGCCCGTCGTTGGTTGCTTCCGCGTGGTCTTGGAGTCGACGTTGCCGAGTTTTGTCGGTATTCGGCTTCCAACGGTAGGGGAGATCGCGTCCTCCGAACCGGCGTGCGACTCTGCCGATTTCGTAGGGCTCCTTTTCAGTTTGCCGAGAATCGCGGTTTGCGAGCGTGTCCCGTTCGCCAACTGTTTCGTATCCGCGGCCTTGAACAAACCTAAAACGGAAGAGACTCTGCTCTTCGAGGAGCTCTGGCTTGGCTTCTTCGGCGAGGACAGATCTTCGACGCTGGAAGCCCTTTTGGCCGCAGCGCGTTCCTTCGAGCAGGGGGAACAGACGACGGGAGGCGCGGATCGTTCCCTCCCGTTCGCCTTTTCCTCCTCCGTCGACTGCTCGTCGTTCGACGATCGAAGCCTCTCGAGCTTCTTCTCCAACGAATGCAGGAAGCCGTTTCGCGAGCCCTCTTCCCCGTTCACCGTCTCCGCCTTCGATTTCTCCTCCTCCGAGTCTACCCGGTCCCTCTTCAGAGAATTGATCTCGTTCTTCAGCTCCTTCTCCCGTTGCTCTTCCCTGTCATCCGTTCCCTCCGTCGCCGCTGCCTTGTTCTCCGTTTTCCGACGAATAAATCGAGATTTCCGTCGCTCGTTCTCCGCGGCTTTCTGCGCCTCTTTCTCCTTCACGTATCGACTCTCCTCCCTGGGCGTGTCGAAGAAGTCCGGCCGTAGAAATCGCGATATCCGACGTTGCTTCGTCTTCTCCTTCTCCTTCTCCTCCTTGGAATCGTTGTCGCGGCTCGTCGCGGTCTTGAACAACTTGCTCAGCAGCGATTTCTCCGGAGTGAGAGCTCGCGCGGCGAAAACGGCGGCGTGTTGCGAGCCCGCGTACGACTTCCTGCGATCCCCGCCGGTGCTCGTCGGATGGTCAACTCTGGTCAACGATCCCGAACGTAGTCTTAGGCTGGGGATGCAGCTTCGCCTCTTGGAGACGTTCGAAGCGCCGCTGGCCGTCGTCTCGGCGATCGAGATCAACGAGCGTTTGTCGCATTTGTCCGTGTCCCGGTAGCTCGAGGTCAAATTCGGATCGAATTTCCCGACGGACGGCGGTCCTAGATTCTTCAGCTTGGACTCTTTGATGAGATTTTCCGCGGCCAGCAATCTGTCCTCGAAGTTCCTGGACTTGTAGTCGACTATGTTCGAGGAGGATTCGGTGGGCGAAGTTTCGTAGGACTTTGCGGACAAGCTGGAAGTCACGTCCAAGAGATTGGTGTTGGAGTCGCAAACGGAGGCGGACGTGCACTCCGAGACGGTCTCGCTTCTGTCGTTCAACGCGTCGTCCGTAGTCTCTTCTTGGATCTTCTCCGCTCTGTACGAACGGAAACTGTCCTTTCGAAGTTTGCTCGCGCTGGCACGGGACGGCGATTCCTTGTACCACCTGGCCAGAGAGGTGGAGGTTTCTCTGGGGTAGGCAGAGAAGTTGGCGAGTTGGTAGTCGCGAAAGTAGGATGATTCGCCGTCGCCGTCGCCGTCCGCGTCCGCGTCCTCGTCGTTTGCGCGATCCTCGAAGAGGCTGACGGTCCGCCTAGGAGAGCGGCGCGATCTGTTGGCGCCGGCGGCGAGGGAGGACGCCTCGAGCAAGCTGTTGGCTCTCCTGATGATCGGCCTGTTGTTCGGAGAAGATCGAGCCTTGTACTCGGTCTGATCGGACACGGTCGAGATGGAGGAGCGATCGACGGCCTCGGACGCGTCCAGGGAAGCAGCGGCGTTCGCCTCCCTGGCGGCGGTCTCGTAGGACGCGGAAGGCGATCTCGTCAAAGATCGCCTGGTTTGCTCGATCAACGTTCTGCTCAGCCGTCTGGCCAAGCTCGGCGTGAAATTTTGCTCTAACGACTCCTGCGTTTCGTTTCTTACTCGCGTCGGCTCCGCTTCTACGTCTTTGCGTGCTACTTTATCTGAAAACAAAGCGCTCAAGATAACGTCTAACGCGGGAATACGCGAAAAGGAATTTCGCAGCGGCGTGTGTCTTGTCGTTATCGTATCTTGTTATAGACGGGAAGCGGATAAAATTGTACTCTGGTATACTCGGTATTTACACTCCTTTATTTTCTACATACATGAGACTTCTCCTTTCTTTCTTAGAAAATTTCGCGAAAAATTGATAAATAAGTGGTGGTAATCGGCGATCACGCTGAACGATCAACGACTTTGCCCCGTCTCTGTGTGTGTGTGTGTGTGAAGCTTCTCGAACGAAAGAAAAGATTGGAGAAAAGAAGAAATAACGCACGAGTGTGGAAAGAAAGAAGGGAAATAAAGTGGAGAGAAGCGGGGAAAAGCGTCGATGGTTACCGGTATAGCGACGCCCCTTTTCAACAACTGCACGTCGACGAAAACGTTACGGTACTTACGTACTTGCGTACGCAGTCACACAATGGCACAGACACGCGCACAGTCACGCAACGGCACATACATACGTGTACATGTGTCTCGACGTAAATTATCAAGTGCATACTCGTCGAAGGATCAGGTGCAAATAAAAGAGGCTTGGCTATATTGCGTACGGAAATAAATACGTATGATCTTAGGTATCTAAATCACAACGCGTCAGACGTGTAAACTTAAGTGAAGAGTAATGCAGTGTACAATATTAAATACAATATAGTAGCATTATCAAAGCATGCTGAGACAATGTAAAAGTAATAAAACGCTGTTATTTAAACTCTGAAAAACACAACAAATATCAGCCATCTCAAACAAGGGTTAGCTCCATCGGCTTTCGTCCTGGTAGGTATACGATTTCTCGAGACACCTTCTCTCTCGATGCTGCGAGTCTTTCTCTCGTTTCTCATTTCTCGACGAACACGCGACAGCGACAGCGACAACGACAACGACAACGACAACGACAACGACAACGACAACGACAACGACAACGACAACGACAACGACAACGACAACGACAACGACAACGACAACGACAACGACAACGACAACGACAACGACAACGACAACGACAACGACAACGACCACAATTACCACGATCATCGTCGTATCCGAGCTTCGCTTCTTCGATGACTGTCTCGCAGTTCTCGAGATTTCGTATTAGGAGCAACCTGATTCGCGGAATTCACTCTTTTCTCCTTTACTTTACTTTCCTTCGCTGTAATATATCTCGGTGTTACACGCGCGGGATTACAGGTCGGGGAGCTCGAGTACGCTCGAACCCCTTGTGTCGCGGGTGCCGTTTCCTCCTTCGTTTCCGTTTCACGCGGCGCGACGCGACACGAACGCGGACGCGAAACAGGTTTCAGCGGGCCTGGTGATGGTGGTGGTGGTGGTGATAGTAGTGTTGGTGTTGGTGGTAGTACATATATCGTCCTTAGCGAATACGATTACAAAGTCCGGTTCGCAAAGTGTGGTGGCGCAAGGCGATCGAGCGATCGAGCGATCGAGCGACAACAGCGACGATTAAGAAGAACAGAGAGTAGCATTCGAGCGACGGTGAGAAGATGAAAGGTGTCGACCACGCCAGATAGAATTGTGTAGCATAGTACCTAACTTGGTTTGCCTACTGGGGATTACCGTCAGCCCGCCTACGTAGAGTCACTCGCACGGTCGCTGCAACAACCGTCAGAAAAGACCGTCAATCACACCTATTTCACACGGTATATTTTCGATGATCGTCCGCAGCGAAGAACGATGCCAGCTGCCTTCCTCGCCCTCCCAATCCCGATCCGGGACAAACTTGTTGTTATGCTCGTTGGGTGGAAAACTAAAGGATTCGAATCTATGTACGATACAACCCTGATCTGAACGTTAGCGAGCGAGTACGAAAAACAATTCTCGAGAGCTTCTGGCATCCTCCTTTCGATCCAAATGCGTACTTTTCTTACAACGCGAATCGGCGTGTCAAACTAGCAAATTTTTCTGCTCGTTCGTATCTCGGGGAAGAGAAATTCTGTTGTTCGAGACGAATTTTTTAGCGACGAACCACGTAGGTATAACAGGTGTCTGTAATCACCGGTGACGATAACTCCTCGTCGCTGATTGAAGAGTCGACGATAGACGTGTGCGTGTGCGTGTGCGTGTGCGTGTGCGTGTGAAGTAGATGCGTGAACTTTGATTAAAGATGGATTCTATCATTGGACAGTATAGAACTGCATTTCCTCGTGTATTCGTGTATATATGGATCACGTGTGCAATCATGCTGTAAACTTTAGTGTACACTGAATAAATTAAAGAAGAAAAATGCTTCTCGTGTTAATGGGATAACGTGTAAATCAACAACAACAACAGTGCAACTTGCTACTACTGCGTATTACGAGGTTTCATGTTAGGCAAAGTACGAGTCACGTCTGTGAGTAAGCTCAATGCTCAAACTTCTCCGATTGATCGATCGTTCAACAGCTTCAACTTGATTTGTTTCGAAAAACGAGAAGAGGAAGAAGAAGAAGAGAAAAAATGAGGAAAATAGGCAGGTGTGGGACATCGTACAGACATGCTCTTATGGAAGGACGCGCTACCGAACGCGCTCGTGATCAAAGTCTGACAAGGACCGTCTGAAAATTACCGAAACGTTTACCCACCTGTGCCAAACATGAACCGTATACATATGTACTTTAAATGAGGTTAGTATTAAAAGTTGCAAAAACATCGTCAGGCAATAACATCGGAAAAAGTAACTTGACGGGGATGGGTTGATACGAGAGAGAAAGGGGAGAAAAGAGATAGAGTACGAGAGCGAAAAGTAAAAATATACATACATACGTACATACGCTACTGTTCCTACGTATTTGCTCGTTGGTAATTTAACAAATGACCTGGTCTTGTTGAAAAGAAATATGGAGAAAGTTGGAAATACGTAGGAGCGGTAGCGTACATGTATAATAGAGAGCGAGAGAGAGAGAGAGAGAGAGAGAGAGAGCGAGGTAAGTCGGTAAAAGTAGAGAAAGAAGATGTGCTCTGTCTATCAACGACTCGACAACAGCTAGGTACTAGGAGATGCATACTGAATGCCATTCGGCATTTTCTCCCATGTCTTATGATTTCAACCAGTGACAAAAAATAGCAAGGTTCGCCGTATCGCGCCCAACTTGGCAGAAGCTCCGTTAAATCCTTCTCGACGAGAATCGAAATATCAGCTCTGTCTCTGTAAGAACTGGAGCTGTGTAGAAACGAAAGTTGCGAGAAAATTTTGCCACTGGATCGAATCCCGTCGTGTGTGTGTGTGTGTGCGTGCGTGAACCGTTTGCGATCCGGCGATCGAACGAATCTCGAACGTTGTTGCTCCGAATCTGAGGAAGACCGCGGAGAGAAGGTGATCGCGGAACGCAAAAGGTTCACTTTTCGTTGGATATGAACGTTTCGTTTTTGCAGTTTGACACGGTTGTTTCACGGTAAATTCACGGTAGAACAATCGCTGGACACTCTCTTACCTCTTGGTAAAGTGTTGCTGCCGATATCGAACACCGTTTCCCTCGACGACGGTGTAGCACCACCACCGTGCGATCCTGGACTGTTCGGGGTGGTAGGGTTCGACGAGTTCACGGAGTCTTTCCTCGAGAACACGTCGCCTTCGCGGCTCAGCGAATGCCTGAACTGAGACTCCGACAATCGCCTAAGTTCGTGAAACAGACAAACAAACCGTTCACGTGATTTTTCACCGAGGTTACGAGCTTTCGAGCTTTCGACTCTACGCTACAGACGGGTAAAATCGCGACAGATGCGAACGTTATCGCGCAACGTTCCTACGTTGTTCTAAAGTTGGTATAACAATGGGACTCACGTAGTGACGGTCCTCGTTTCGACGTATGTCTGGTAGCTTGCACAAACAAGCGTTAAATCGTTGTCATTAAATAGTAAATAACAGAAGGAAACGTTGACAGATTGAAAACCCTGGGTAGAGAACCCCGCAGAGCGAGGAGAGAGGGGCACAACAGGGCTATGAGGCGAATTACCTCGACAACGGTTTATTCAAGCCCCAAAAAGCTTGGGACGAATTGGATCCTAGTCTTCCGAAGAGTCGGGAACTCGGGAAGCCGGTGGTGGTGCGGTTGTCGTCGACGTTCAGCCTCTGTGTCAAGCTTCGCACTCTGGACAACAGCGTGGAGAAGAGATTCTCCGCGGTGAGCAATTCGAATCCGTCGTCGTCGTCGTCCTCGCCGGAAGACAAGCTGTCCGCGTGTTCCGGCGGTTGCCTTGACGGTCGAGAACTTCTCAGCCGATGCATGTGCCGTTGCAACAGATCCTCGCTGTCCCTGAGAATCGTGTGAACGTTTATAGACGAAAGGGTTTACAAGGCGGGCTGTTTACCTGTGCAACGAAGAGAACGGAGATTCGTCTTCGCTGGCGTCCGATAGAAGAGAACTCATTCGTCGCGGTCTGCCGAATCTAGATCGCGGGGCGTTCGTGCTGGTCGGCGTGCTACCAGTTTTGCTTTCAGGCTCGGCGCTACCCGACCGAGGGGTAACGTACCCGCCGCCTTCCATGGCTATCGGAATTATGTATTCGCGAGGACTCTTTCTGATCGGCTCGGGACCAACGGTCGAGCCGAGAGCGCTGTCCGTGTCCGAATCTGCGGTCGACTGGCGGGACAACGATCCCGATCGCTGCGAAACCGATCGCTGAGGCATCGGCGGTGGCTTAGCCGGCGGCGGTGTCGACGAGTGTCGATGGTCCGATTCCACCTGTAACAAGTTCACGATTACGGATAACGACGATAGAGATTAACCACGTGGGAGAGATCCTACTTGAATCGGTATTATCCTCTCCTTCGGTGTAACGTTCCTCGGTCTGGTTTCCGGCTCCAAACTCGAGCTTCGACTCGCTTGCGGTACAGCTGCAGCGACCGGAAACGCCACTTCCGAGCGTTGCGTCCGCAGCTTCTGCGGTTGAAACGCGTCGATCTTCGCCTCCACTTCGGACTTGAACGCCACCGGAGCTTTCCCCGGAGATTTCATACCCGAGAGAGAAATTTCCGCTTTGCTGGTCTTTCGTGGTCTAGGAAGGGTGGCGCTCTTCAGAGTAATTTCCATTTTGCTGGACATCTTCGGCTCCTCCAGCTGCGTATCGTCGTCGATGGTAGACGCCTCGGAGGTAACGGCAGCCTAGAAATAGGAGAGGAAGAACATATCTCGTCGAGTACATGAGAAGGATTACGTCGAGCTTACCGTTGCCTCTTTCTCCATGTCTGTCGGTTTTTCGTCGAAGGGGAACTTTGTTTGAACGGGCGTGGAGACGGAGACCGTGGCGGAGCGCAGATCGTTCGCTCCAACCGGTATCTTCAACGGAAGTTTCTTCGGTTCTTGACTGGACGGCGAGATCGGTGGCGATCCGTTTATCCTCCTCTGCATGGGCGGCTTTCCGATGGCCCCGGTTATTATATCGACGGCTCGTTTCTTCGCAGCCTCCTCCTCCTCCTCCTCCTCCTCCTCCTCCTCCGTTTTCTTCTTCTCGTCTTCCTCTTCCTCGTTACGAACCGATTGCTTCGACGCGTCGTTCCTCTTCGCATCCGCGGTTGGAACGTCGATGATCATCTTGGCCGCGGTCGGTTTCGCGGGCGGAGGTGTATTTACGGAGGAGAGACTGGCTTTTCTCTCGAACACACGCTTCGCTCCTCCCACGTTCACACCGGGTATAAAGATTTTCTTCGGCTTCTCGTTTTCCACGGCCGACGCCAACTGATTGAACTTCTCCGCGGTCTCGAATATCTTGGATCGCCTCCTTTCGAAGGAGGTCCTCGCCGCTGGAACGTCCCGCGACTCGTTCGGCAGCTCCGAGTCGAGAGAGAGCGCCTTCTCTTTCAACTTTTTGAATTCTCTTTGAGTCGCCTCCAAGTTGATCGTCTCTTGGCTGTCGCTTCCAACGATCGCTTCTTCGCGCGTTCCTTCGAGGTTGGAAAGAGCGGCAGCTGTGGACGATCGATCGGCAGTCTCCAACGATCTCGACGGTTCGCCGTCCAACGAGGAGGATTTCTGCTGATGGTCGGCTCGCGGTCGATCTTCTGGGGTTTGCTCCCGTTCCACCGGTGCCACCGGTGTTTTGCTTCGCTCTTTGCTCGGCGACTTCTCGATGCATTCTTTGATCAGCTCCAAACAGGCCGCCGAAGATTCGATCCTGTTCATGTCGAGGGTCTTGCTGGTAGGAAGAGATACGGTGGGATCCACTTCCATAGCTTCCTCCGTGATCGAGTTTGGAATCGGAGCCGAGTGGTGCCTAGAACGGAGGAGAGAACGGGGGTTGGTTGGTTGGTTGGTTTTTTCTTTCGACGTTACAGAGAAATTACAGAGGATCTTACCTGGAAGCGGACTTGTACGCTCTGGCCTCCCTCTCGTCCGGCCGCTCTTTCCTACGCGATCGTTCCTTCCTCTTTGCGCCGGCGGCAGCCGTCTCGTCCATCGACGGCGTCGTCTCCAACTTCCTCTTGGCCTCTCCTCCGCCGGTCGGCGGCTCCTCGTCGAGTAACTCTCTGATCCGCCTATCGGAACTGTTCCGATCCAACTCCATCAGACTACCGACAGAGTGGCACCTGGTAGGTACCAGAGCTTCGGAAGAGACGTTGTTCGCTACGTCTCCGGCGGTGGGTTGCTGGTCGCCGACGACCAACTTCTCCGCGCTGGCGGATTGCGGTACCAGAGAGAGCAGCAGATCCAATCGCACGGGAGTTTGAGCGGCCAGCTCTTCGGCGATGTCCAGACAATTCTGCTCGTAGCCCTCGTTCACCCACCAGTGGGTGCAAATCCTCTCGATGTCGGCTCGTCTGCCGGGGCAAACGGTGAGCATGTCTTTGATAAGGGGAGAAGCGGCTGTAAGGAAAAATGGGATACGATCCCGTTACAGAAGCAGAACGAGAGGAGAGGAGAACGGAGGAAAACGGTGATACATACGCGAGGGTTTCTTCGGTTCGAAGTAATCCGACTGCGAGATCTGTTTGACTAGTCGCTTGAAATTGGAGCCGTCGAAGGGCATGGCGCCGTAAACGAGGGTGTAGAGTAGAACGCCCAAGCTCCAGCAGTCGACCTCGGGACCGTGATAAGGAGTACCCTTGACGATCTCGGGACTAGCGTAAAGCGGGCTGCCGCAGAACGTGTTCAAGAGGCGTTGCTCGTCGAACACATTCGACAGGCCGAAATCGGCGATCTTGGCGTTCCCCAGTTGATCCAGTAAAATGTTCTCGAGCTTCAAGTCCCGGTGGCAGATCTTGTGCTTGTGACAGTAGAAGACGGCGGTGGCGATCTGACGAAATATTCGACGAGCCTCGTGCTCGGTCAACACTTTGCGCTCGCTCAAGTAATCGTACAGCTCGCCACCGGCCGCGTACTCCATTACCAGCACCATCTTTTCTCTGTTTTCGAACACTTCGTATATGTGGATAATGTTCGGATGCTGGACGCTGGACATTATCTGGATCTCCCTTCGTATCCTGATCAGATCGGCCTCCGTCTCTATCTTGCATTTCTTGATGGTCTTTATCGCGACCTCCTGCCCGGTCTCCTTGTTGATTCCTAGTTGAACTTTGCCGTAAGTACCTTGACCGAGCTTCTTGATGATGTCGAACCTGCGCGGAGTAATAGTCGAGCGAATGGGTTGGCGCGCGTACAAACGGTTCCGTTTCCCGCGCTTCGTACCCTACCTTTGCTTCAGCTTCCGTTTGTGATTGTGAAGTCGTACCCCGGCCGTGCTCTCCATTCCTCCCATAATGTTATGTATGCTCGCCTCGCCGACCACCATTTTCCCTTATTTCCCTTCGATCTGAAAAGAAAGCGTTCCGGTGCATCGTTAGCGGCGCGGCGATCCTTTCGCGAAACGCGTGATCCTTTTTTCCAAGGTTTTTCCAAGGTGGTGGGCCCCACGGACGAAATGCGGTGAGTTTATTTTCGGTGCCGAGACGTCCTCCCGCCGCCCCGGCCCCTTTCCCCTGCACCGCCAACCGAATCGCGATCCCATCCTCCTCCCGGTCTACGCGAGAACGCGACCGTCATCTCTCGATTTCTACCGAGACCAAGGATATGCCTACTACTGTCTGGGTTAACTATTAATGCCTCTCCCAACGCTTCTCCTTTCCTTTTTCCTTTCCGCGTCGCCTCTCTCTCTCACTCTCTCTCTCTCCCTCCCTTCCTTCCTCCCTCCCTCTCTCCCTTCCTCCCGCCCTCCCGCTGTTCAGGCTCCGTTTTCAGACGCACGGTGAGTAACCCCAGCGCGCGCATCTGCGAACGAACGATAAACGATAGCTCGACGATCGGCTACGACACGTGCGCGTACAAAATCGCTCTCTCTACTCGCTACTCGATCGCGGTGCGTTTCGATATTTTTAGCGGGCACGTAGACCCGCCGCCGCGTGGGCAGACCAGCTTCGGGGCTCATGTCCCAATGACTTCCATTTCCGCGCCAGTTTATATCTACCGACTTTCCTTTCCCCCTCCCCCCCACCCTCCGACCAAATACACCATACTTTTTCCACTTTCGGTCAGAGAAGGAAAACCAACTGAAAACATTTGGTCGGCGAACAATTTCGATGCAATGCACGTAGGAACCAAGTAGCCAGGTCGTGATAATTTTTACCTCCTATTTATAGACAGAGTCTAAAATACTACTGTCAACGCGAAGTCTGAAAGAACGCGAGATAAATCCGACCGAGCAATTAGAAATAAACGTGCGGTCGATCGTGTAACGGACCGATTGCTTGCACCTTCGAAAAACAACGTGTCCACCTCGTACTTTTTTTTCTACCTTTCTCTTTTGCCCTTTGCGCGAGACGTGACGCGGCGCGACGACATGCGTTGAAGTGATACACGCGCGCGCGAACAAGAGAGGGTCGACGCGCGAAAGCGCCATTTGGCAGCGATCGCTCGGCAAAATTGGCCAACTTCGATTCTCGCCTGGAATCATCGACGGACGAACCAAAAGATCAAGCAGCGGGCGCGCCTGCCCCCCTTTCTAGTTCCTCTTCGAACTCTATTTCACCCTGTCCATTTAATTCCCATTTCAAAGGTAAAGGAATATGTACACACGGTCGAGAAAGCAGCGCGGAAATGCTGCTGATTCTCCAAAGTGTCCCCGGTACGTAAGTACGTCAACTGCTTATCGGGCCGAAGGATGTCGTTCGAACGTGACGTCATTCGCTCACTTCTATGGTATCTCGTGATTCACGTATTATTATTAAAACCCTTGTGATTCCACGGAACGACCCGCGTTGCATACATGAATGAACCTCTGTACGTCCGTCGTGGGTGATCGTACGCGTGGATCGCAATTTCTCGCGACAAAAGTTTGAGTCACGAACAATTAATAGACTACGCGCTCGGTGAATTTCATTCGCGACCATCTGGATCTATGCTATTTCAGCCGACGCGAATGTTTCACGGTATTACGTTAAGCCTGCTTGAAACAAAAAGAGGCGAAGCGATAATCTTGCGATTTGAAACGTAACGATATTCGGGCTATATTCGGGCGATATTCACCCGAGCAAACGGAGAATTTCGACGCGCGTAAAACGTTGCTACGAAGAACGTTCGCGAAAGAACGTTACTTTCGTCGGCGAAATTCTAAGGTCACGACCGGAATCGAGTATATGTACCATGTGTCCAACTCTACGGCGAAACTCGACGTAAATATTGACGGTGAAGCAAAATTCAGACGATACATGCGGTGAGGTGGGGTGGGGCGGGCGACTGGGGGGGAAGGGAGATTTCTACGATTGGTAAATTCTCCTTTTCCGATTATCGGTTGAATAAAATCTGTGTCATTTTGTGTGTGTGTGTGTGTCCGCGCGCGCGCGCGCGCGAACGTATCTGTGCACAGTATGCAACTAAAGCGCGTAACACGGTATGTAGGTTCCTATCGATAAAAATAGCATTCTGATATTTCGAACAGTTCTTTCGGAACATCCGCTAATTGTTTCGGCCGTTGACGCTTATCGTTCGCGATATCCGAGGAGGAACGGTTCATTGGACGTTATTCCACGATAATACGGTACGTTCTAACGAGACAACGGCGACCAACGCATCGACGAAGATGACCACGATGGAGAGGGCATCGACGACGTCGACGACGTCGAGAACCCTCCTTGCTCGTTCTTGAGTAATCGAAAACGCCCACGATGGAAAATCGACGGCACGTCGTAACGTTCCTTTATTCAGGGTGGACGTCCGTTCTTCGCACTCGTACAAGTCGATGGAACAAACGAACGCTCTGAATGAGAATCGACACTCGGGTACAGTCTAAAAATAGCCAGAATTTCTACCTTACAGTGAACTCTGGAGCCAAATTATCCTCTTTTGCGGCTGCTATCCGCTCCCGGGGAACTAAGGAAAGATACACTATTTACACTGTTATTAGCGTCTGTATGGTGTACCCGATCACTAAGTCTCTACGACTTTCGGATTTTCCTTAGAGATCGCGCACGTTCTCCGTTTCCACTTCATTTTACCAGACATTTTTCGTCTGACGATACCGCACACAGCTCACGCGCTGCCACCATCTTTATTTACTAATTTTGGACTTGAACGCTGAGAACGGGCAATGAATAGATTATACCGACACTACCGCCATCTTTCGACGTCATTTTCTACACCGCAAGCGTGTACACTTTTAAACAGCTTTTCCTATTTTCCCTCTGATTACATCTTTTACGACGCCTGATATTCCATCAAATGTATCGTGCCCGATATCGATACACACCTATCGAATCGTACAAACGGTATTGTACAAATTTCATATATCCAAGCTACAATACATATATGTACATGTATAGTACTTGCCAAAGTTATCTAACACGAATATGTATATATATGTATATGTATATATAGTAAATACGTAAGAGTAACGAAGAAAACTCTTTTCTATACTTTGTTCCTGCTTACTCTGCGATACTACATTCGTATGATAACGATACACAGCGTGGTACGTGAAGTAGCTTATGTTCGCAAAAGAAGCTAGTGGATCGTAAATTTATGTGTTTCTCCCAACCATTCCGAAGAATTTTCAAAGGAAACGAAAGAGCAACGGTTCGTAGTTGATAGTATGGATCCTACGGAAGATTGGAGTGGCAATTGCCAAGTGCTAGAGAATCAAACGCAAGAAAGTCAGACTGAACAAGTTAACCAAGTCGTGCCCGGATACACGAATTTTGCCGATTACGTTCAGGTATGACGAATATCGGATATTTTCTTCGCTTTCTCCTCAAATCTGCCAAGGGAATAAATGATGCTGAACGATTTTATACTATTTTAGGAAGCGTTCGATGTCATAAGGCTTGGGATCAAAGCTGCCAATAATTTACCAACTGGTTCAAATTTCAATTATTATTCCTGTTTCCCCAGTTTTCTCCGTGCCAAGGATGAAAATATACAAATGTTGTTAAACGTTATGCAAAATGTGTTAGGAACGGCCAATGTTACGAACAAAATTTCCAATCGTGACGAAGAAGAAATATTTGACCTTTTGTTGGAAGCGAACGATGGGCTTTTGGATCGAGCTGTAAGTTTTTCTCCAAATATTACGAATATACACGATTTTCCGCCACTTTTATTCCCTTCCATATTAATACGAAATCTTTCGTAATGCAGAATGCGTTAATGGACGTAGAATCTGGCGTCACAAAACCCTCGGAAGTAGAGTTAGTGGTGACACATGCGAAGAAACAACTGATTAATGGTAGTTGGAACAACCAAGTTCATAAACCGTCGCAAAACACAGATGCTGTCCAATCTGTACGTTTATTGGCAGGCAAAAATATTCAAAGACCACAGTTAACGTTCAAAGACAAAATTGACAATAGTGGGAAACCTTGGTGTCCTAGAATTAAGGATAAACCCAATTCTTTGAAACCACTAGCCATATATTTGGAGGAAGAAGAACATGGAGAAGTGTTCAGTCATCCTTATGAATATGAATTGGATTTGTTCGTAGTGCCTAATAGTCAATTGAACAAATCAAAACCGGTCAATTATAAATCTTTGGAAGACACACCGTTGGTACTGGTCAAAGATCCAGCAGATATTAAGTTGTTACTAGAGGATTTAAAACGGTACAAAGAGATTGCTGTAGATTTGGAACATCACTCTTACAGAAGTTTCCAAGGAATAACTTGTTTAATGCAAATTTCAACGGGAGACACGGATTATTTAATCGATACTTTGTCGTTACGATCCGAATTACACGAGTTAAATGAGATCTTTACCAAGCCTACCATTCTAAAAGTATTTCACGGAGCAGATTTAGACATTCAATGGCTTCAAAGAGATCTCTCTGTTTATGTGGTAAACATGTTTGATACGCACCAAGCGGCGAAACAAATGAATTTGCCGTACTTAAGTTTAGCGTATTTGTTGAAACAATATTGTAACGTAGATCCCGACAAACACTTCCAAATGGCAGATTGGCGTATAAGACCTTTGCCGGAAAAACTTCAAAAGTATGCTAGAGAGGACACCCATTATTTATTGTACATAAAGGATATTCTAAAAAACGCTCTGATAGATGCTGCCAATGGACAAGTGAATATTTTGAAAGCTGTTTACGACAGAAGTACAGAAATTTGTAAAAAGACATATGTAAAACCAGTATGGACAGAGGAGAGTTGTATGAATATGTACAGGAAAAGTAAAAAAATGTTTAACAATAAGCAACTTTATGCTTTCAAGGAGTTGCATAAGTGGAGGGATTGCGTTGCTAGAAACGAAGACGATAGTGTTGCTTACGTTTTACCGAAGCATATGCTTTTGAACATAGCTGAGACATTACCTCGTGAAATGCAAGGAATTCTGGCATGCTGTGATTCTATACCTCCCTTGGTTAGGCAGAATTTATTAAAACTGCACAAAATAATATTGAAGGCTAGAGAACAGCCACTTATTAAACCAGTTCTTGAAGATCTCAGGCAAAGATTAACGCAGAGGAGCTATGTTACAAATTCAGAAGTATGGATGTATTCTCCTCATGATATTCCCAGTGGTATGGAAGCAAGAGCTGATTTGCCGTGTTTGTTAGATGAAAACAACGCAATGGAAACATTCGTTTCAAATACCACCGTGCATGCAGTGAAGCATACCGTCACTGTGTTTGACAGCCCAAACACATCTGAGGTAAAGTGTAGATGGTAAACATCAAATGACGTTAATTAAAAGTACGTATATGTGCGTTTTTATTGCAGGATGAGGATATGGAGAAAGATGAAGGAAAAGGCGATAGGAAGAAGAAGTTCGTCTTCGTAAGTCCGTTTGAACGGTACAAACGCGTAATACCTATGGTAGCGGAAGAAGAAACGCAAGAAAGAGAAAGGCAAAAACAGGAAGAAGATAAGGAAAAAGAGAAAAAAGAGCGCTTAAATAAAGGGGAAAATGTCGAACAGAAGGATATAACCGAGAGTAGAAATAGAGTTTTGCAACATTTCAAGAAAGTTACTGAAATTGTTACAGAAAAAGGTGCGTCAACGTCGTCGCGAAAACCATCCAAAGTTCCCCTGAGCCAAATGCAGGGACGTAAAAGGAAACAAAATTCAGATATTAACGAACAAAATAAAGCGAAAAAAGGAAAAGTCGAAGACAACTTGTTAACTCCAGTTCCATCGTTAGAGGGCAGAATGACACAAGGAGTAAGACAGGGCCGAGATGAAATGGAGCGTTTGCAGGAAGAAAACGTACGAGAGAAGAATACAGCAAGAAGTCAAGAACAGGCTTCGAATAAGGGATCTATTAATTCGATGCGGTAAGTATCCTCGGGCATGTAGCCGAGAATTATTGGTAAACCGAGTTTCTTTTTAGGCCCAGACAAAAAGGAGATAGAAAACGTATAATTAAAGAATTAAATTCAAAAGGCATGATGCCATCGAAAGTATTCGATTATAAAGGCGTAGATTTCAACTCTTTCCAAGGAGGTAGTAAAAATACGCGCAATCAAGTAAACTTTGAGCAAAAGATGGTAAGAAAATATGCTTGGTTTGTTTTGTGAATTTCTGTTCAATTATCAACCTTTGACTTTTTCTATTTGTAGAAGAAGAAGAAGAAAGATAAGCCCCGAAAGAGGAACAAGAAAAAGGTAAATATATAAAGTGTAATAAATATAAATTGCAGCCTGTTAATATCTACGTAAGAGTATGTTATTTTATAACGCTCTGCCTTTTTTGTATCATGTACAAATAATATACAATACATGTTTGTGGATAGATTCTTAAGTAATGAAATTTTAACAAAATATTATATATAAACTATACGCTTCTTTCTGATGCGAGTTTTATTTTTTTCTGTTTTTCACGTTAAAAGATCTCCCGGCAAAATATTACCTAGAAAATTACGATAATTCGTAGGTGTCGAAATAAACGAAAAACGTATAATTGTTATATATAATACATAAATGTTACATATAATATTGTATCATATTATTATTCTTTGGCATTTAATAAAGAAAAAATATTTTCTCGATTTAATAAACTATTTTGAACGATCGTTTCACATGAAATTAGCGATGTAATCTGCATTATCGTTAGGTCATGACTTCAACCTTTTCTTTTGTATACTCTAATGCATAATAATACATCAAGAGGACGATCGAAGAACTGTCTTGTATTGTAACTAGAAGTTTAGTAAGAGAAATGGTGCCTTTTATAATAGTGTTTGTTAAACTGGCCTTACTCTCTGTAGTATGTAATCACGTATTAAAAGAAAGTACTTGGATAGAGACAAGTTTCGAGCATATTAGTAATAAAAATTCGTCAAATTGTCGTAGCAGCAATTTGACAGAGTTTATTTTTACACTTTCAAATTCCTCGAGTGTTGCTCGAGCAGATTCGCAATCAAATCAGGTGGATTGTTTCGGTTTGGGGAAAACCTTGGCTGCAACTTTGGAATGGTTCTTTATCAACAAACCAAATGGAACGGACGCTATGGATGTTCAGTTTCATCTCTCTTCGAGAAAACAGCGACAACGTGTTGAGGTAATGATCGGTAAACAGTTTGGTTTGGAGTGGACGGACTTTAAAATCGAACGGAGAACGGTCATAGTTGTCCATGGATTTTTATCGCACGGTCAACAGTGGTGGATTAGCGACATGGAGAAAGCATTCCTCGAATGGGTAGGTTACCATATTTTTTTTTCCACGTAGAACCGGAAAAGCATCGTTTTATTATTTTCAGGGTGATGTTAATGTCGTGGTTGTAGATTGGAATATCGGAGGTAATACTTGGAACTACTACAAAGCGGCGGTTAACACGAGAATAGTGGGCTATCGACTCGCAAGGTCTACTTTATATCATTGTTTATGTTTACGTGCGTTACGTTGATCACGCAAATTGTATCTGATAAAGTTCACTGGTTTGTGAAGATTTTTAGAACACGTAGAGAATAGAACAAGTGTCGAAGGTACTTCAAACAGCAGTAGCTGGGGACCGTTATATTTCGTGGGCCATAGTCTCGGAGCACACATTTGCGGATTTGCTGCGAAAGAGTTGAAAAGAAGGCAGAGTAAATGGAAAGTGGAAAGGATAACGGGTTTGGATCCTGCACAACCTTGTTTCAAGAGTGCCGACACCACCGTGAAACTTCACAAATCCGATGCACCCTTCGTTGACATTATACATACCAATGGTAGATTACTTTCTCAGATCGGATTAGGTTTACCTGAAACAATAGGTTGGTTAGTTTAGTATACACATACGTATAGGTAATTGAAGTTAAACCGTGAAAAGAATTTTTTTTCTTTTTGTTTTATCAGGTCACGTTGATTTTTATCCTAACGGCGGCAGAAGCCAACCTGGGTGCATAAGAACCGATGCTTCGTATTTTGAGTATTTACCTATTCCTCTTGCAGGTAATTATTTGCTGAATACGCCTTTTGTCCGAGTCTTTTGTTCGTTTTAACGAAATGCTAATTTGATTTTAGCAATTAATAGGTCTATATGCAGTCATGGACGTTCGTACGTTTACTTGACGGAATCATTGGCGTCCAATGTTAAAGGCAATTGCAGTTTCTGGGCGCATCATTGGGACTTGTCGTATCGAAATTTGTTGCAAATAGCGAAAGAATCTTGCAACAAAAGTATTTGCACCGAAATGGGCATAAACGCGATAAATTATCCTCAACGCGGAACGTTCTTTGTCGCTACTTCCAACAGTCCACCGTTTTGTAGTAAGTTAACGTCAACTGTCTTTCCGTTGCAATAACAAATAGAAACGCGTACGATTCTATTATGGTACTGCACGTATGTTTGCTTTTCCGATGTATGTACCTCGGTTGAACGGTCTTGAAATTTTTCTAGTTAACGACACACGTATACTCGACGAGGTGATAATTCAATTAGAAAAGGATTACGTGGACGAACTTGACGATTGACACGAATCAGTGGGTTGAATAGTAAGTGTATCATCGATTGATAAATAAATGTAATTTACTCGAAATTTCAATTACGTACAATATTAAAACTATCAATTAAATACAGCTAAGTACTCTATTTACAATGAAATTTCAGGAATTAAACGAGTTATTTACATGTCAGGCTATTTCATTTCATTCGCAATTGCTTCGATTGCCTAATTAAGAAACAACACCTGTCTTCCTTGTGCCCCCTTCAATTATTCTACGTATGTACGTTCACGCTCTACGATAGTGACTCCAATGGAATTTTTACTAACATAAAAACATCATATCGTATCGATACTATAAATTAGTTATAAATTATACGTAAGTAATAAAAACAGGAAAGAATATTTCGTTGTACGAATGTCTTTTTCTTCGGATTACGATTCGACGTTATTAATATTGTTGCAGCGAAAATACGAAATCGCTGATTTTTCGCACAGTCTTTACGCACGCTACATCATTGGCACTTGATTAGAAGATAACGAGATATTATATTGATCGACTACTTTTAACGAATATTTTCGCGGACTATAATGGTTTTTTGGTGCGTCGTATTTCGTACTCTTCGATGTCCGTTACCGCGAATGGAGAAATTGAACGTTCAGAATGGTCACATTCCAGTTCGAAACGTACTTTGGTTCACGGTTTTTCCACGGTTTTTCCACGGTTTTTCCACAGTTTTTCCACAGTTTTTCCTGCTTCTCCGAAACGAAGCTTTCGAGGAGTATAGAGATCAATGTATAGGTTGAACGTAAGTGGCTGGAAATATACCGGTTCGTCCTCTACACTCGCCTATCCACCAGCCGTCCGGTTGCTTTTGGTGCACCGTTATCAAGTCTCCGGGACTTAGACTGAGCTCGTCGTTTAAGTTAGCAGAGTACTGATAGATCGCTCTGCATTGCTCCGTTCCGTCGGATTTGCAAGTAGTTTCGGGAGTATCGACCTCTTGATTGTTATTGTCTTCGGAATGACTGCTGAATTCATCGAAATCGCTAAAGTCATCTTCGTCGGGTGGATTCTCGGAGTTTCCGTCGCCAGCGGTTCGATCGGCCCAGTGTCGACTTTCCGTATCGTGATCCTTGGCGAGATGGACATCTATTTCGTCTTGGTCGTCCTGAATCTCGAACGATTCGTTCTTTGCCCAAGAAGGAATCTGTAAGAAGAGTTTCCGTTTGGTTCGGTTTTGTTTGCTGTTAGAGGAACGCTAACGCTTACCTTAAGGACACTTTGCTGCAAACCCTGTTTATCTCTCGACACTAAAATATGTTCGGCCAGTGGATGTTTGCCTCGTTTGCTGCCTTCTACTTCCGCCAGCGTTCCTCCGACTTTGTACCTCGCGGCCTCTAAATACAGCAGCATAGAACGCATCTGAAAGAAGAAAGAAATGAGTTTGAAGCACTTGGAGGAAGGAGGAAGAAACCGGTGAAGGAAATGGGCGTACATGATGTAGCTTTTCCGTAACGTTTTGCGTGCTCTCGTCCGCGGCGAACGCCGGTGTTGCAACGAAAGCTCTGTGGAGAGTTTCGAGGCCCTCTCGGCCGCGCCTTTCCCGCTCCAAGTCTTGTCTGATCAGATGAAGGACTCTGACCAACGCTTGTTTCCGACGTTCCCTGTTCATCGCTAGAGTAACATGTTCAGCGTAGAAGTCTGGCAGCAGTTGCTCGGAATTGCAACCATCGTTGCTCTCCACTCTGCGTATAAGATTCTTTAAGATCTCGATGTCGTGAGAGACGTTGCAGTTACGTATAGGAGCTGCCAAACGGTCTGCACTCTATCACGAAGAGATTAAAGAGGATTAACGACGTGGTGAAAATGTTGAAAGTGAGGGAAAGGTCTGGCGACAAGCACACCTGTTGCAGACGCGGAGCTAGAGTTTGCAGGTGAGCGAGATAAACATTGGCAAGATCTTTGAGGGCGCTCAGTCGTTCCTCCTCGAGAAGTTCCATTTGCTTGGCCCCTTTCCTCATGGTGCTCTCGTACTCGAGCCTGGCTCTCTCGGCTCTCACGCTCACCGTGTAAAATTCCGTGTCCGCCCTACGGGACGAGTCTTCGGCCTTTCTCCTCCTCGCCTCGAGCTTGCTAGCCTCCTTCTCCGTCATATGATGGTTCGACGACGATTTGTTATTGCTCTGCTGGCTCTGACTGATCGATTGTAGCCTCGCCAAGTCTTGCAGCCTCTCGTTTTCTCGCGCGCTAGCGAAACTTTGTTTTTTACTTTTTATCGCCACGTTACGCCACTCGTGCAACGACTTTCCAGCTTTGTCCACGGAATTCTCGATGGTTTTCCTCGAACGTCCTTGAGCCTCTGCTACCCCTACCTACGGATATGCAAACGCCCGTTTGTTCTCAACGTTGGTGTCCTCCTACCAAAGCGAGTGTTTCGGCCAAGCGGGAACTTACTCTGAGCGGTTTGGCGAGTTGTTCGCTAAGCGTTATTCCCCATATTCTGTGGGCTTCCGCTGCAGCCTCCATTTCCTCGCCGACGCATCTCCACGCTTCGTTTACACCTCCGCTACCATTTCCACCTGCGTTGCGAAAGAAAAGAGCGGTGACGAAACGCGTGTACCGTCCAAGAATATCGAATAGAATACCTTGATCCTTCGCGCAGGCCTTGGTCAGTTTATTGCTCAGCTTGCTGAGCCCTTTGGCATAAGTGGCTTCTAATTCAGCTCTGAAAGAGGAGTGAATCAGTTGGATAGGTTGCGTTGCTAATAATTGCATTTGTTGCGAATAGGAGTAGAAGATGATTCACCTTTCGTGAAGGATCGATGCCAATTCCTTGCAGAAATCACCGCCCTGTTTCACGTACCTTCGTACATCCTCGAATCCACCTTGTCCCCCCTGCAACCAGAACCAGACTCTTCTTTTTCTACTTTCCACGTGAAACACCTGGAACCAGCTCGTTCAACGGTTGAATATACTCGGTCGTAATACTCGAGGGGAATGAGAATAGCGGTAACCACGCATCGGAAGTTATCACGATTTCTTTTCACGATAGCAAAGGAAGCTTTACGTGTACCGTCTTTAGTGCGGGCACGTGGGCGTGCAAGCGTTTCTTCATAGGTAAGTACTTAGACGCAAACAAATGTGTATGTAGTTGCCTACTGACAGTAAGAGAGTGATTAATAGAATCAATTTGCCACGCTAGCAGGGATCTTGTTACGCGTGTAAACGATTCTTGGACGACACACTTTCTCCAATGGGATTCGTTTATTTCTTTCCGAAAACTGGTTTATCGGTAATCGTAACACGACAGAGGGACAGAGGGCAGAGATAGGAGACGTCTTGGCGAGGATAGAAAATTGAAAACCGGTGTCTCGTACCCTGAATTATTTTTCTCGCCCGGTGACCAGATGGAAGAAAAGGTATCGGAAATGTCGTTGATTCAACCTTTCGACGGTGAAATTCATTTTTCTAAACGCCCCCCCCCCCCCCCCCCTCCCTCTCTCTCTCTCCCCC